CCAAGTATCACACAAGAAGCTCTCAAAATTGGTAGAGTGCTAACTCCATCTTTTCCGACTTTTTTAGTGTTTCACTTTAGAAATCAAATTAGGAATACTTTGTGACAACTCGAGGGAGAGAAGGAAAGTGGCATGTTTGTTTTGGGGAAGGGAAAAAACTATTTTCTTCTTAATTTTCTACTTAAGCTAAGTACCTTAGATTTTTTTTCCTTTTTTTTTCCTTTTTCTCTCTTTTAATCACCTTTTATTGCTGCACCTCTCCTTTTATTTATAGAAAAAGAGTTTTCTTGTCCTCTAAGGATAAAGAGGGCAATAACTAGTCCAAATTAGACTTTTAGTTATTACTTCCTAATCCTTCAAGGATTGGAAGTTATTTAACATGTGGGTTTTTGATCTTTATCTTTAAAACATTCATCCTTATCCAATAAGATTCATGTTTATCCTCCTATCAAAATATCTTTTAAGTTTTTAATTAAACCTATTGGCTCAAAACTATTTTAACCTAATTAATTAATTTGGACTATCTAAATAAATTAAGTTACATAATTTTAAGAGGCCCATATTAGGAAACAATTTCTCAAATTACCTTTAAATCTAAATTAGAAAACTAATTTTCATTTTAGGTTATTTACTTCTAAATTAGGAAAATAATTTCTAAAATAGAAAAATTTCTATTTTTAGGAAATTTTTCATTTTCGAAACTTTTTTCAAAATAAGAAACTTTCAAAAATTAAAAACTTTTTCCAACATATTTGCTTCTCTTTAATCATGTGAATACTTAAACTTATGCGTGTGACTCAATAAACTCCTAGATATGTTGGCAATGTATTAAGAATAAAAAACACTCTTTTATCTCTTGATATATAAATCAAGATTGGCCTCTAGCAAGACATCATGATTACCCAATTCTCTAGGAGGATTAATTAATTTATAATTACCTTTCACGAGCATGGTTACCATATAATTCAATCCTCATGTCAACTTATCACAAGTGTGATCTCGAATTTAGTTATTAGTCTTGTTCGATTATGATCACATAAGTTTTTTTTTATTCCTAAATGTCTTAGCCTTTATAGTAAACCAACTATGCTCTATTGGTGTACTTCTACCGTGACCATAGATTTTTTGACATCTCGTAACAACTCATCTTATCCAATTAGATATGGGTATGTATGAAAACTTCAAACTATAGAGAGATTAGTGAAATTTTACAAAATTAGTGACGAGTGATGAGGACATTACAAAAACTTTGATCGAAGTTAAGATCCTCTCTAGTCTCTATATGATTATGTACATCATCTTCCCTATCAAGTCAACATTCCATACAAATTGTAATTTTCAAAATTACAATTTAAAATAAACATATGTATTCATATAAAATTCATAATTGAAACTCAAAATAAAAAATGAAGAACAAAACAATCAAACAAGTCTGGAGTTTTGAAATTTGAATCCCTTAGCCATAAATATGTATCTTCAAAACCTAAATCTAAAGAACTAAGCATTTGAGAACAAGGAAATTTTTTTGATTAAGATCTTTTATGATTTTTTTAGTTTGATTGAAACCTTTTAATCTTATAAATTTATTGAGTTAGACTCTCATTATAATATTGTTAAATATTCATCATACATGACAACTTAAAACTAATGTTATCCAATTAGACATGAACACATAGCGATGTGGTTCTAAAGAAAGTGTTTGAGTAAATTTTTTACAAAATATAGAGGCTAAAATTAGACATGAGTATATATGAAAACTTCAAAATATAGAGAGCTCGGTGAAACTTTACAAAATTAATGACGAGTGATGAAGACGTTACTAAAAATTTGATGGGAGTTAAGATCCTCTCTAGTCTCTATATGATTATGTACACCATCTTCCCTATCAAGTCAACATTCCATACAAATTGTAATTTTCAAAATTGTAACCTTTGCGTATGGTTTGGGTAGTAAATTTTTTAAAAAACTTGAGTTGAAAAGTCTACGTCCATTTTCATACCAAATCTAGACCATTTATGATTGTTGATAAATAGTGATCAATCAATCCATTGTTTAGGCAACAATTAGTCTTGTACCTATATTTTTATTCGTGTCTATTTCATATAGATAAAGGTAGATATGAAAACTTCAAAATATAGAGAGATCATTGAAATTTTACGAAATTAATGATAGGTGATGAGACGCTACAAAAACTTTGATGGGAGTTAAGATCCTCTTTAGTCTCTTTATGATTACGTACATCACCTTCAATGTTAAGTCAATGATTTTATACATATTGCAATTTTTTGCGTCCGGTTTAGGTAGCAAATTTTTTAAGAAACTTAGGTTGAAAAGTCTATATCCATCTTTTTACCAAATCCTAACTTTAGGCTCTGTTTGTTTGGCGAGAACAACTTCCATGGGAAAATCAATTCCTAAAGAAGCTATTTTCTTGAAAATGAAGCTATTTTTTTAGGAAATTGTTTTTCAAGAAAATATTTTTAGCCGTTTGGCAACTACAAAAAAAACTACTGAAAAATATATTCCAATGTTTGTTTGATGCGAGAAAATTAAAACATAAAGATAGTATGTGATTATTACATCAACAAGTTGTGGAAAAACTTCAAAAAGACATATTTACAATTTCACAATATAAGATACATTTAGAAAATTTTAATAAATTTTCATAAATACCGACTCTAAAATTTTAATTCAAAAAATAAAATATACTTTTTAAACCATTAAACCAATTCATCAAAATTACTTGGAACATAATCAAATCAATATTCACATTTAGGCAAAAAAAAAAAAAAAAAAATTCTAAGTAATCCTAGCATTGTTATTTTTTGAACTCAATTAAGAATTTTTTTTTAGAAATTGAACCGATAATTTAGTCTAAAAAATAGTTTCATAAATTATTTGTTATCATTTGTAGATAATCATTCATTTGGTTTCCAAAGATTAATGTTGGAATAATTTATAACTAATTATTCACTATAATTACTAACAAAATTTTACAATTGATTGAAATTATAAATTATTGATTTAGTTATAAATGAATAGTGTTGAAAAAATAATGAATTTATTAATAGAAATAGAGAAAAAAATTAAATAATTAATAATAATTGATAAGGAATAATTAAAAATTAATTTGATAGATTTTAAATAAAAAGAAGATAGAGAAAGAAATTGTTAAAATATATTGAGAAAGAAGTAAGTAACGTGAGAGTGAGACGAGTTCGTGAAAAAAAAAATATTTTCCTCTTTTTTACTAAGAAAACATTTTATCAAAAATACTTTATCATTCTCTATTGATCGAAAATGATTTTCTGTTAATTTTTTTTTAAATACGAAACAAACACTAAAAAATGAGAAAAATAAAATTTTGAAATCTGTTTTTCTTCAAACAAATACAGCTTTATGATTGTTGAAAAATAATGAACAATCAGTCCAGTGTTTGGCCCAATCCTAGGAAGACAATAGTGGGCTTAAACTTGTTTATATGGTGGGCTAATTGCATTAAGAGCAAAGACTGAAAATATGATTACCCCTAATCATATTTTTAGAATAGCAATTGATTGAAGAGAAGAGGATAAAGACAAAATCAGCTTATGCAATTCTTTTTGGTCCTTTTGGTACTTGGGAGTTGTGTCACTGCTGACTCATAACTTAATCCAAATCGCTAAATTGCCACCTAATCTTGACATTTAAAAGCACCCGTACCTAATTAAATTAATCCAATCTTCTTGCTATTTATTTTCTACATTCTTTCTTTATTATTTAATACACTTTTTTTTTTTTTTTTGAAAAAGGTCATTTAATGCCCTCTTAGCGTCTTTGTTTGGATGATTTTCCCCCTTCTTGTTCAGCATATGAAATGTAAGAAGAACACCTCATATCCATTTTTTTCTTTTTTTAATTACGGGCCATTTAGTCATATGAGTTATTACTATAAAAGATAATTATATCATAACCAAATCCAAATTGTTAGTATTTATCTTTCAAAAATATTAGAATTATTAAGCTTCTATAGAAGGTTATGTCATAACCAAATCCAAATTCATAATTTTTTTTTCCAAAGATGGAAGTCTTTCTCTAATAATAGAAGGTTAATTTTTCTAAAATTACGCAAAAAAAATAAAAATCAAGTTGCAAGTTATGGTAGCAATTAGGATAATTTAATGAGGGCAAAAAGGGAAAATTGAAGGGTTGAATAAATCGTACCGCATCAGAAGCAAAATCAAATCCCAAAAATTTACTGTTTTAGTATCAGTCAAATTCTTATTTGAAAGGATCATACAACAATATTATCCTTTAAAAAAAAAAAAAAAAAAACTGTCTCTCACTCTTATATATAACACCAACATCCTCAGCTGGTGTGCATGTTTGTTTCTTTTGCAATCTCTTTAATCCGATTCTAATAGTGTCATATGTAAGCGTCTCTCTGTCTCTCTTCTTCTTTATCTCTTATAGAAAGTTTTACTTTCATTTTGTCATTTTGGTAAAGCTCAGTGCTTTGATGGTCTTCTTATTTTGTGAACTTTGCTGGGTTGATGACTGATTTTTTTTTTTTTTTGGTGGATAACCCGTGATTTCTCTCCACTAATATAATCATGGGTTGTTTCAGATTTTTTGTTTCATGTTATTTATTGGTAAAGCTTGGTGCTTTGATGGTCTTCTTGTTGTTGTAAACTGTGCTGGATTGATGGTTGAATTTTCTATTGATAATCCACGATTACTATCTATAATCTACTAATGCGATCATTGGTTATTTTCCAATTTCTGTTTATTTTTTTACTTAAATACTTATTTTCTCATTGTGTTGTGCAGCACTTATTGATTCATTATGTGTGTATGGGAGAGAGAGGATAATCATTTTTTTTTATTTACGGTGTGGAAGTTATCTAATTGGATCATGGAATGTGTGAGTGTTAAATCTATGCCTTTTGTTGCTTGATTGATTGGTGATCGTTTGTTTGTGTGTTGTTGTTTCTTTATATTGCAGGGTTAGTTCCAATAAGATGAAAGGGTCGAGGATGCTGTTGCTTCTCGTTTGCTTGAGTGTAATCGCTTTAGGAGTGGTAAGAGAACATAAAAAAAGATATCTTTTTTGTTGTTGCATGTGGCCGTATTGAAATTCTGTACCACTTTCTGATGTTGTAGCTTATTTAGTGCACTTTGTGGACCATATGGGACCGACGAGGATTTTGTGGAAATCCAATTATGTGCTAGTATTCACAGTTTAACGACATGATTCATTTATGTTTTCATCTCACTTAGGTTTCATTGCGTTGCAATGCAGATTGCTACTGGCCCACCAACATGCCCTGCTGATCATGGTGGAGAATGCAGTGATTCGGGAGAATGGAAAGGGGAATTCTTCCCCGGCATTCCCAAAATTAAGTATGAGGTAAAGACTTTTATGATCTATTCAACTCAGTATCTTTCAATCATTTTAAACTATTCCGTTTGTTGTGCAACTGTTCAAATGCAAGCGTGGGTTTCTTTAACTCTCCTCAGTGATCCCCCTCCCCTCTTGGACGCCTCGTCTTCTCTGCTCCTGCTATCTTTTTTCCAATATGTTCCTTTCCAAGGTATGTATATTTACTTGCATTTTTATGGCTCAAGTGTGCATATTCAAATTTTATTTGCAGGGACCTTCTAGCAAGAATCCACTGGCATTCAAATGGTATAATGCGGAAGAAGAGATTCTTGGGAAGAAAATGAAGGTGGGATACAGTTTTTCTGTTTTATGTTATCAAGCAGTAGAGCTATCGCTGACTGTTACATATGACAACAGGATTGGATGAGATTCAGTATTGCATTTTGGCACACATTCCGCGGAACAGGAGGTGACCCCTTTGGTGCACCTACCAAGTATTGGCCTTGGGAAGATGGAACAAATTCTGTGGCTATGGCCAAAAGGAGAAGTAAGATTGATGATGCTACACATCCTTTATCTGGCAATGTGCTACATAATTGGTGCTTATTTGTTTATTGATTTTTCTCCCTTTCTATACACAATGCAGTGAGAGCTAATTTTGAGTTCTTGGAGAAGATTGGAGTTGATAGGTGGTGTTTCCATGATAAGGATATAGCCCCTGATGGTGAAACCCTGGAGGTGAGTGAGATTTTAAATAACAGTATCAGCTAGGGGGAGATGGAAGAAGGAAAAGTGGGTTGCATGTTTCTGCTATTGAGTGTTTGGGAAGTGAAACTTTTTAATTATAGAACAGGTTTATTGTTTGTTGTTTTTAATCTATGTTTTTTTCCCCTTTCGATCATTGGTATGGATCATTGAACTAATTGAGGCTTTTATTTTATCATCATTTTTTTTTCTGTCACAGGAAACCAACAAAAACTTGGATGAAGTAGTGGCCCTTGCTAAAGAACTTCAGGTAATCATGAAACAAAAGGGATGATGATCTTATGAATGGAATAAAATAGAGATGCTTCTTTATATATCTGTGTGTTACCCTAATGGGTGTCAGAACCTTACTTTTCTTTTTAAGGAGTGTTGTATTCCTATAAGATTTTTTTTTTTTTTTTTTTGACCTGTCAACATTTTGATATATTGGCCTTTTTTTGGTGATAGTTGTCATATATTTAAACTGCCTTTATATATGCATGTGTGTGTCAAATGAATGCACTGTGTAAACTGACGAATAATATCCAACTTATTCTCATATCTTGAAATGCTGCTAGGTAGTATATTATTGGTTTAGAGGAAAAAAAAAAAACTAAATATTTCTGCAATCAAATTCTATGGCACAGATTTAAACTGCTGATATTGACCACCATGTTATATTTTTTTTTTGCTTATTTTGCTTGAAAAACATACCACCAATCACCTATACTACAGACCTACCATTATATGTTCTTGGTGGCCAAATCGATGATGGAAAAGAAGTATATACATTTGTAGTCATGAGACAAAACTGAGGGGTTAAATTTGTTACCTTTTGCTTTGATGTGATTTTTCACATGAGGTGGATCATTGGGGCACAAAATCGTCACAATCACAGATCAACCAAGCTATTCAATATTCTGAGTAGAACCACTAAAATTCTCTTCTAGGTTGTGTGAAATGGGTACCGTGGTTTGATAGTCAAACATTTCATGAGTTGATGTTGGACTTAAAAATCATTGCCTGATTTGTAATTATTCTTTGAACACCAGTCTGTTGTTACTTGTTACTCTTAGATATTCCATTGATGTTGGGTCTGGAGATCAGTATGCTTGATACTTGTTTTATGTGTGTACAAAGCATTATGAAGTTTGGTATTTTTTTGAGGCATCATTATTCTTTCAACACCATCTGAGGCATCAGTATTTTTTTGGGCCTGGGTCTGGAGATTGGTATGCTTGATAATTGGGTCTGGTGCTTGGTATTTTTTTGATGCCTCAATACTGCAACTGTACAGGGAACCAAGATCCGTCCTTTGTGGGGTACAGCACAGTTGTTTAATCATCCCCGTTACATGCATGGTGGTGCTACTAGGTATTCTATATCCTTGAGTTGATGTCATGCTATTGATGCTACCAAGATCATTTGTTCATGGACGTAATACTTTTGGGTGCTTCTTCTCAGTTCCGAGCTAGGCGTATATGCATATAGTGCAGCTCAAGTTAAGAAAGCAATGGAGGTGAGTTGATGCGTGTGTAGTCTTGGGGAAAAAAATGATAATTGTGTAAATATAACCTCTATTTACGACATTGATATTTCTGCAAATTACAATTAAGAACTCTTATCCCAACAGGTAACACATTTTTTGGGTGGAGAAAATTATGTCTTTTGGGGCGGTCGTGAAGGTTATCAGAGTCTTTTGAACACAGATATGGAAAGGGAACTCAATCATTTGGTATGTTCTTTGATTCTCTCTTTCTAACATTAAAACATCTCATATTGCTTACCTTCTTTAGTCAGATTTGGTTTGCCCTGGAGTTTCCTTCATGAAGTCTGGGTCTTCTTACTAATTGATGGCATTCATCATCTTCCAACAGGCAAGGTTTCTTGAAGCTTCTGTTGCCTACAAGAAGAAGATTGGATTCAATGGTACATTTCTTTCTTGTCATAGGCAGCATAGACTCACTTGCATAATGAGATAAAATAGGCTTTTCCATTTTCATGCAGGCATGTTGAGCATGAATAGCTCTTTCTCCATTCTCTTGTTTTTTATCCTTCCTTATTTTTGCCCTCTTTTTATCAAATGTTTCCTCACTTCCAAAATTTTCAAGGGATCCTAATATTTACTTGCTCTGTCTTTCAGGAACTCTGCTTATTGAGCCCAAGCCTCAAGAACCTACCAAACACCAGTATATCTCTTTCTCATATATTTAATTGGCAGCCTTCCTTACAGTTCCCTTTGTTTTTACTTATGGTGCTGTTTTATCAGGTATGACTGGGATGCTGCTACCACAGCTAATTTCTTGCGGAAAAATGGCCTTATAGGTGATTATTGAAACTTATTTCCCAATCTCCTCTGATTTAGTTGCAACCATCTAGATGGAACTTTTCTTCTCGTTCTATTGCTCTCAAATAAGGTTTAATTTTGCTATTTTTATTATTGAAGTAGGGGTAATTTATGGCACATTGCTTGTTAATGTTTCATTTTCGAATTATTATAGCATTTGGGCTTCTTTGCTTTTGATTGATTACTTTGGGGAAGAAAATTACTCGTGCTGTTCTGAACTCTTAATTTGACCCCATGTTCACACAGTGCATAATAGTAAAATTGCTTGTCTGCTTGACTTTCTGTTCACTTGAGTTTTGGGGTTGCCACCCTTTAGCAGTTCAAAGATTAGTCCCCAAATAATTTAACCAATTGAGCTGGAGATTTTGTCATTATAATATTGTAATAATGTTATTATTGGTCATTAATGAACGAAGAGTTAAAGTTTTGGGTAAGTGTTGTATTTTAGCATACATAAACTGGTAGAAAGTTTAACCAGTGACAATTAAATTGATGAAGTTATCAACGTTTCAAACCGAGTGGCTTGATATGCAGGCTTGATTGAGTTGACTTTATTGAATATGAATAGTTTTAACAGGTGGTACTGATTCTTACTTGGAGGCAAACTGAAAATACATTTCAAATTTGCTACCACTGACATAATCATGATTGTTTAAGTACTTGCTTTCAGCTATCTGATTTAATTAACACCAACTCTCTCAGTGGTTATGACTTTACCAAATTCGCTTTATTGTTCTGTTCTTTGCTCTCTTTTTTTCCTTTGTTCCCCCCTCCCCCTCCTATTCAAATCTAGTTGTCACTGTTTTAAAAGAAGCCTGTCTTCTGTATGGTGAGTCTCGGAATTGCCATTTAACTTCCTTGATTCCATTTTGCATTTCAGGGGAATTTAAGTTAAACATTGAGTGCAACCACGCAACTCTTTCAGGTCATAGGTACATCACCATCTTCTTGTACTTATTTCCCTGTTGCTTAGTAAAATAATTAGCCAACCGCATGATTATACATGGAATTTCTCTATCAAAGTATAACATTTGAGTACTCCGCACAGCTGTCATCATGAGCTTGAAACTGCAAGAATTAATGGTTTACTGGGAAATATTGATGCAAACACTGGAGATCCTCAGATTGGTAATGAATAAATTAGAAGCCTTTAAACTTTTCTATTTTAGGCTGTATTTCAAGTTTACTAAATCCACATGTAAGTTGAGATTTATGGTTGTAACATAGGGCCGTTATCATGTCTACAGGATGGGATACAGATCAGTTCATGACTGATATCGCAGAGGCAACTTTGGTTATGCTTAGTGTGATAAGAAACGTATGTAAATGATGTGTTTCTTTCAATTGGTTGGGAAAATTCAAGGACTTTGTCATTTGAAATGGAATTACATTAGCTGGTTTTGTTTTTGTCTAATGCAGGGAGGACTAGCACCAGGAGGATTCAATTTCGATGCAAAACTGTTAGTTTCTCATCTTCCTTGTTGATTCCCTTTTCTATGTGCTTATTCTGATGCACATGCATGTGGATATTTGTATTCCTAGAAAAATTTAGAATGAAGACCTTCTGAGATGATGTGATTGATTATATGATGTTTTAGGCGGAGAGAGAGCACAGATGTTGAGGACATATTCCTTGCTCATATTAGTGGAATGGATACCCTGGCTCGTGGACTCCGAAGTGCTGCCAAATTGATTGAGGTGAGATCTTTAATTTCATTCTCTTCTCAACAAACTTCTCTTGGAAGATTATTTCTTTTTTGCTTGATTTTGATGCCAAGGAATTTTCTTCTGTGAAACAAAGGATGGTTCGTTGGCTGAACTTGTTCGAAAGCGGTATCAAAGTTTTGATACAGAAATCGGGGCACAAATAGAGGTAACATGTTTCTTATTCCTATTTTCTCATGTTTTTCAATTTCCCTTGTTTCTAAAAGTAATGCGTCTTCTAACAGGCTGGTAAGGGAGATTTTGAAACGCTTGAGAAGCTGGCCATGAAATGGGGGAACCCAAGGTTCCATCTGCTAAGCAGGTATTTGGATAGTAAAAACCTTTTCTAAATTAGGGAGGTTCTAGGGATGATTTTGCTTCAACAATTGCAAAATATTAAAAATAAAAAGGCTGTGAATGGAATTATTATTATTATTGACCATGAGTTCTAGTGGAAAAAAGCATTAAAAATTTGAGTTTTCCATTTATTTATTGGTAATCAATCTGCTAGCTTTCCTCTTAATATTCAGTGACAATTTTGTAGGATTTGTAACTTCAACTATGGAAACATGGTGGCAACACATCTCATATTTTACTCTCTCAGAGAGGAAGTCTACTGAATTGAAATACATTATAGCCATAATTTTTTTTTTTTTAAATTTATACTAGGTCTATTATTCTAGATATGAGTAATGATACACAAACAAATTTCTCATCCAAAAACATACTTGCAGTTATTCTTTCCATGCGAGGCCAATCACTTATATAATTTATGAGGCCCACACTTTACCACATATCATTAATTTTAGTATAGAAAGTTTGTTTGTAAATCATTTTCCATTTCTAGATATATGGTAGATAATGCATTCAACCTAGAAGATCAGCTAGAAAATCTTTTACTTCATGAACAGATTTTCGTAAATGATGGTTGAGCCTTTTGTTACCTACCTTCTGCTTGTTTTATTTTCTTTGATAATAAAATCCATCTTCCCTAGAAACTTGTTTCCTCAACTGTTGCTTCCCAATGCTAATCCAAGCTATTTGTGCAATTTTGCAGGAACTTGCTGAGATGCTTTTCCAGTCTGCACTGTAGAAAATGGCACTTAGGCGGATTACTAGAACCCTTTTTTTTTTTCTTTTATCTAATCATCTTCATTGGAAATAGTACGTAATAGGGTTCACTAATAATAGATACAGCAAAATGAACTTGTGAAGTTGGATTCTGTTTTCTGTAAATGGATTCTGCTTGCCTTTATCATCAAACTGTTTGGTGGAATGTGTGGCTTTTATCAATGGCACCAAATGAGAACATGATTGCATGTGTTAATTCATTTGCAGATGAGTTTTTTAACAGTGATGTGAATTTTTCTCTTTCAACAGCCGATATCCCAATTTCTTTTTAACAATGAGGTGCAGAATGAAGAAGATGAGATTCTTGTTTTGCCAAATTCCGGCGTGTTAAGGTCAGCCTATGCCAATTTTTAGATTTCGTTACCATCAAGATAACACTTGATGTGGTATGGCGGGTTGGCGAAACTAATGTACTACATTTGAGCAAGGGTGGGAATGGGACAGAATCATGTTTCTAGTCTTGTCGGGAAAGAAGGGAGAACCAGCCCAGAAGAACATTGATGTTTCTGTTCTCTTTTTTTTTTTTTTTTAATGGATTCTAAAAATATCTCAGGCTTAAAAGTCTAAAATAAAATAATCTTTCTTTATTCTGTTGAACTTAAGAAATAAGAATAGTTGTTCAAAATTTTTTTTTCATGTATAAAAATTCAAATTCGAAATTATTTTTTTAAATTATTTTTTTTTAATTCATATTAACCATCAAACCTAACCTTCAACGAAAAGACAGCCTTTTTCTGGTCAGTAGCACAGGTCTTGGACTTGATAAATTGACGAAGGCCCTGTGCCAAGAAGTAAAGCACGTGGCTATACATGCTCTATTAGATTAGAAAGCGTAGCTAAAGGTTCAACTTTACTCTTGTAATGTACGAGTGAGATTTTGTTGATGCATTGTCAATTTTGAGGAAAAAAAGAGACGATGACACGCACTCATTACGCACAACTATTTTTGTCCTTAAAGTTTATGAGTGTGCGATTAGATCCTAAACCAATAAAATAATAATTTTTTTTTTCCTTTCCTAGTGACGCGATCTAGATTTTTTTTTTTTTTTTTCAGTTTGGTTAATCACTACTGAAAAAAAAAAAAAAATCTATTTTCAGTTTAAGTTGTAAGTAAAAAATATTTTAAACAAAATAAAAATATAAACTTTTGCATCCACAGGTTTCATCAAATACAGAAAGAAACATAATATAATGAATGAATAATATTTTTGTAATGGTAAGTTACAATAACTCTTTTGGGGGCATTGTGAAATTATGGATACTACACAAAAGTTTGAAGTTTAGATGAAAACAACTTGCATGTTTAAGAAAATAATATAAATTTTTTTATCATATCCAAAATATCCTTAATTACTATTTAAAAAAGACATTCAAATTAAGAAAAAATTAAAGAAATAATATAAGAAAATAGGACTTGATCAATTTTTAGTACATGAACAACATCAATTTTACTATTTAATTTTAGTCAATTTTATTTTGAGTTTCTTTTTAATATTCTTGCTCTAATTTTTAAAAATTATTAATTTAACTTTTTTTTTCTAAATAGTAACTAAGGTTATTTATGTATGATGAGTTTCTATCAAATCTTCAAATTTTTTTATGTTTCTTGTAATTTTAAGATACTTTAAGGGGTTATTGTAAATTTATCCCTTTTTTTTATAATTGCTCAGAATAATTTTTCGTATTTTGAAAATTTGTATGTTAACCTTATGTATAGTTGTTATATACAAAAAATATATTATATATGAACAACTTTATTACTAATATTTAAGATTAAATTATCAAATTTACAATTGAAATAGAATATATATTGTTAGATTGAAAATAAAAGTATTAGAAAATCCTTGAGATAAAAAGTTTAACACCAATTAAATGATTGTGTTGTAAAAAAAAAAACCCTAAAAAAGACTAAATGAAAAAATAGATTTACGAAAGATGAATTCATTTTTTTAAGATAAAATAAAGAAGAAAGAGTTAAATTTTTGGTCAATTACAGTTTTTTAATATTTTAATAGAGTTAAATTAGTAAAATCACTCAAAAAAACATTAATTATAATAAACTTCAATGGTCTTTTTTTTTCTTAATTACTAAGGCAAATCATGCCCTATTCATAGCTTTTACTTAGATGTTTTGATATATGTCTATAAAGACGTAAGATATTAACCGTTAGAACATTTAAAAAAAAAACCCTTAGTTTATAGACTAATTGGTCAAAATTATTACTATAGGGACTGTTTCATATTCTAGTATCAAAGTCTAGGCCTAAAGTCAAATTATGAATAAAGACAAAATAGACTGAACGACGAAAGTAAGATAAGAATCCACTGACTAGAATTCTTGGTTGTCAGGAGGCGGTATTGCTCTAGTACATCACTATTTCATGGTCCTTAAAAATTTACAGGGGTGAATTTCTTGTAGTTTTTGCCCACAGGAAGCCTCCAAGAGGACTCCCTCCACAGCCACTCATTTAGACGATTAGAGACATGCTCATTATCCATTTCAACTTTCACCCACCACTCTTATAGACAAAGAAGAAACTAGCACAAGATCATCAGCAAACAGTCAAACAGAAAAAAGATCGAAGAAATGAAGCTACAATTCCACACACCATTTATAAGGATAACCCTGATAGTCTTCCTCCAACTCATAAACCCTTCACTTCAGTGGTCTGAGCCTCATGACTTCTCATCAATCCCAACTCCTGCTCCATGGCCTGAACGATTCCATGCACTTTTATACATGAACTTGAGCTCAACACGCCTTCAAATCACCAACCTATGGTATGATTGGCCTAGAGGCCGCAATGTGAACATAATACAGAAACAGCTATCAGTTTTGTTATATGATGTAGAGTGGAATAATGGGACAACATTTTATTACACCCTAAGTGAGCCTCATAGTTGTCGGATTATGGTTAATGACGTCGGTATTCCTAGGCCTGATTTTCTTGATGGAGCCAATTATCTGGGGACTGCTGTCACTGATGGGTATCTATGTAATGTATGGGAGAAGGTAGACACTATTTGGTACTACGAGGATGTTTATACTAAGAGGCCTGTCAGATGGGATTTTTACGATGGTATGTTCTTACTTAATGTTTATGATTTTTATGTTGTTTCATTAATTTAGAAGCTGAATTGCCTTGTGTTCATTTCATTGTGATTGATCCTTACTGTCGCTGTATAGTAAGTAATATTTGTCCAGTGCTTGATCATATTGGCAGGTATATCCACTCATGTGATGACTTTTGAGGTAGGTGCAGCACTTTTGGATGATTCAGTGACTCAAGCACCTGCTTACTGCTTCAACCAGGAGATCAAGAACGTGTAGACTTTAGTTTTAAGGTGTTGTGTTCTGTGTTCTGTGTTCTGCTAGAGGATGGAGGTGGGTTTCTCAATTTTATCATGAAGTAGGTCACGGGTACAGATCATCCGAAAAAAGAAAACAAAAGGGGGAGAAATTGTCTACTCGACCCCATGAGTTATCTGTAGGGATATCACAATTTTAGTTCTCGTTTGTAGAATTTTTATGTTGATTGCTAACGTAGTCTACTCTACCAGTAAATTAGTAAATTTACTAATGGTCTGCATTATGGCCGTACTCTGATAATGCTTAGGTAAGCACTTAAAAGCAAGCACAAAAGATTAAAAGAGATTGAACAAAAACGGGAAGACTCTAACAAGAGAACGAAGATGGTTAATATAAAGGAAAATGAATTACTGTGTTGGATCAAATACATTTAACAGAGCAAATAAAGGGTTTAATATTGTGCTAAATATTTATTATAATAAGGCATATGAACTTGGCAGCAATTCACACTGCCAGGAGTGAATTCAAACCATCAATCATCGTTCTTTTTTTCTCATTTTACTCTTGCTTAAAACTGCTTCAAGGGCAGAAAATCACCCTATAATTAGTTCCACCTGGACGAGTGAAGATGCTTATCGGGTCATCTTTGGGATAACAATAAGCATCAGGGCACCTCTGCTTGAAAAACCTAGAGTAATCTGTTGGGCCAGAATTGCAACAGTATCGATCATTCTTAAAAACAGTGTGTGGATCGTTGGAACCCCTGAGGCCCAGAGCGGATTTGGGCACTGTCCATTGATATCAGCTGCGCACCTAATTCCACGGCAGTTGCGTGATACTGGACTAAACTCCATAGGAACACATCAAGAAGAGAGATGTCAAAGAAGTCTTAAGTTCATATACAAAAAACTACAAAAAGAGGATATATGGGTTACTAACTATATGTTAGTGTAACAAAACAGAAAACATAAGTTATAATAAAAAATATATTGAAATAGAGACTAATGGTGTTGGAATATCATTGACTATAATATATTTTTTTTCATTCAAACGTAGAAAATATTTTAAAATCAATTTAGAATTGAAACTAAATCTTTTTTCAAAAGATTTTTAAAATCAATTAGATGCATTTAGAAAAACTTAATAAATTTTTATAAATATTGACTCTAAAATTTTAATTCAAAAAATAAAAAAAATAAAATATATATTTTAACCATCAAACCAATTCATCAAAACTACTTGAGAAAAAATCTAATCAATATTCACATTTAGTAAAAAAAAAAAAAAAAAAAGATCTAAGTAATCCTAGTATTGTTATTTTGATAACTCATTTAAGATTTTTTTTTTTTTGAAATTGAACTAATAATTAGGTCTAAAAAATAGTTTTATAAATTATTAGTTATCATTTGTAGATAATTATTCATTTGGTTTCAAAAAATTAATGTTGAAATAATTTGTGACTAATTATTGATTACAATCACTAAAAACAATTATAACTAATTAAAATTAGTCACAAATTATTGATTTAGTTGCAAATGAATAGTGTTAAAAAAATAATGTATTTATTAATGAATTAGTTAGTTTCAAATATTTCATAAATGATTACAGTCTTATAATAATCATTTTCAATCATTTAAGTATAATTTAGGTGGTGTTTGAGACAATGGTAAAAAAAATAAAGAAAAATTATTGACATATTTATTATAAAAATAATTTTAAGGTGTAAAGATGGTTTTTAAGAATATTTAATGTATTTATAAATCAAAAAATCAAATATTTGTAGAAATAGAGAAAAAAATAATTAAATAATTGATAAGAAATAATTAAAATTAATTTGATATATTTAAATAAAAAAGGAGATAGGGAAAAAATTATTAAAGTGTATCGAGAGATAGAGGTGAATAACGCGAGAGTGAGACAGCTCGTGAGAGAGAGAAAATATTTTTTTATTTTTTAGCTCGAAAGTCATTTTTTAAAAATAGTTTATTAATTTTCGTTGACTAGAAATCAAATTCCATTGACTTTTTTTCTTAAACACTAAAAAAATATCAAAAAATAAGAGAAAATAAAAAAAACAAGTTCCTAAGATTTGTTTTTCCAAAACAAACACAACCTTAGGTTTTCTTTCTTTCTTCCTTTCTTTCTTTCTTTTTATTTTATTATTATTATTATTATTATTATTATTTTACTGAATTGGGCTTGGGTTTCAAACCTGAAGTTTGGCGCTTGGGCCAAGTGCATGCCTAGCTGATCAAGCCCACTTCTCAATTTTTGTTCTTTTTTTAAAAAATGCTTTTCTATTTTTTTTTTTTTTTTTTTGTGAGGCAAGAATGGGTTGATGGGACAGTCAGATTTATCTACAAATTTAAAAGAAGGATATGGTTTAGAATCGTGAAGTATATGATTTTGTATTGTATCTATCTCTTGTACTTTCTTTCTAGAAAAAGAAAAAAAAACACATCTAAAATGTAACATCAAAAGCTATTTTTAAACAATCAATTAAAAATATTACACTTTTTGGATCTAAAAATCATTTGAAATAAAAAGCCTAAGGAGACCCAACGCAAATTTTCAATTGGGCCGCAGTAAATTGAGGTGGCCTAGTATGAATGACAAGCTTTATAATTGTTAGGCTGTGCTCTGAACGGAGGTGGGCTGGTATGAATAAAAAGCATCTCTATTTGACACAGAATATTTCGTCTGAATCGTCTCTTTTTCTATCCACCCTTCTTCACAGACACACAATAGTAATTAAAAAAAATAAAACAATCTAAAAATCTTTTCATCATTTTTTATAGATATAAATATAATTTTTTTTATGTGTATCTTTTTTTAAAATATTAATTATGAAGTAACTATTATACATATACATTAATTATTCCTTCAATATAATAAAATTTTTGACAATGATTAACCTCGTTACAGCAGCAATCTTGAAGATCAAAGTAAGAAACTACTTTTATTCCTTTAATTTCCTTGCTCTTCTTATTTCCTTTTTATTTTTTAAGACAATTATCATGTCATTGATGTTCTGTGAGGAGATTTTGGAATTGCTCGCTTTCTTCTTCTTCCTTTTTTCGTTCTAAATGGAGAAAGAGTCATTATTGTCTTCTAGAGATAGAGTTATCATTAAAAACAACTACTTTTTCACAAATGTAGAATTTTTTGCCAAAAGGCCAAATATATGGAAATTCAATCGCTCAAATCGCCTTGTGAGTCACGATTCGAAAGATCTTACCATGCCTACTAGCGTTTCCATTGCTATCTCAATTAGATCCGATTTTTTATGCTCACCAACTCGATTGGGCTCTTTCAGCTCGTGAACTAATACGATCCTACGAGTTTGATCACATCTTTAATAATGGGTGAGAAATACATAGAAGCTTAAAAAATTCTTAACTAATGAGTAATAAATATATATGTGCAAATAATTAATTAGTTTTATTATTTTTTAAAGCTTTTGTTATACATATTTTCTCATGTCTTTTACATTTTATATATATATAAAAGGAAGAGAAAAAAATGAATAGAAGACAATTAATCTTGTCAAATTTCGGCTAAATACAGTCTCCCACTATCAAAATCCTTTCCTTTTTTTTTTTTTTTCATTAGAAAAAAATACATGTACACACTCTTCAAAAGACTTTTTAAATTCAAATACAATTTCAAAAATCACTTTCAAACAACTATTCAACATAAATTTCAATTTAATGCTTTTGAGAACTAAAAACTTCAAATTCTTATCATTCTTAATTTCAGCAATGAAATCGTTTGATTTCAATGCCTATAATTTTTTTATAATGAGACTTTTCATTTAATTGTATCGTTTATACGAGCACGGTGGCATACATGAGTGACAACGACTATTGGAGGTGGTGGCCGGAGCTCTCCTTCTCTGCTTTGATTCTTTATTTTATTATTATTATTATTATTATTTCGACTTTTATTTTTACTTGTGAGCAATTTGATAATTAATTTATACTACAAGATGATAATATGTTTTGTATGTACAATAATAATTTGCTTTTGATTTTTAATCAAATGGCTCAAAATTGATGTAAAGGATCGTGTTTATTCTGCAATTATTTTTATTGTCAACAGGCGCCAAGAGTACTAAATAGAGAACAAATAACGAGTCGCGCCATATTTAATACTATAATTTTTCATTACAATAAAGCATGTGACCTTCAACAATTCACGTCATCAGAAGTGATTTCGAACCAGAGTCCTTATTCTCATCTTTCGCTACTATATAAATCCTGGCTTAACCTTCTTCAAGGGCAGAATGTGACCCTATAATTAGTCCCACCAGGACAAGTGAAGGTGCTTGTTTGGTCATCTTTGGGATAACTGTAAGCATCAGGGCACCCCTGCTGGAAAAACCTTGAGTAATCTGTTGGGCCACAATTCCCAGAATTGCAACAGTATTCGTCAGTCTTAAAAACAGTGCACGGATTGTTGCAGCCTCCCGGTGCCCTGAGCGGATTTGGGCACTGTCCATTGATATCAGCTGCGCACCTAATTCCACGGCAGTTGCCTGATACTGGACTAAAGTCCATAGGAACATTAAAGCCATCAACAAGAGAGATGTCAAAGAAGTCTAAGTTGTTGAATTGGTTTAAGGCATATTCAGCCAGTGTGTTAGGGGGTTGACCGTAGGCTTGGCATTGTAAGAGCCCATTGCAATCACCCGTCTCACACCTCCCTCGCCCAGCCCCATCAAAATTGCAGTTGGTCCGTGCCCAAATACGGGCACCTTTTGTCCCGGCATTCACGTCAATGGTCCATGATTGGCCCCGGTCGAGTCCTTGGCCACCACCAGGAACAGCTGCAGCCCAAACGGCGTAAGGGCATTGGTTTCGGATTTCGAAAGTAGCTGCATTGATTGGGGGATGAGATAGGTCAAAAGAAGGAAGCAGGGAAATGATAGGTAAGCAAAAGAGATCATACTGAGGAAATATAGACTGAGGATGCCAGTGTTTTGTGATTGTTCGTGAGGGCTTGGGTCTGCTTTTATAGGAGAGAGGTCACAGTAACGTGCCGTTGTAAGAAAGTTCTTCATTCGAAGGATGAAGTAATATTTGGGTTTGACTTGGCTAGTTATACCCACGACAAATGCCACTGTATGCACATGCATTGTTTCCAAGACTGATCCATACTTTCATTAAGCAGCAAACGTTTCATTAAACGCCGACATTATATGCCTCTATCATTGGTGTACAAATTAAGGTTGGGACGAAACAGAGCAATATTGAAGATAGTATTTGGTTCATGTTTCACAATTAAAAAAACAATACCAGATGGAAGATAAAAAAAAAATTGTTGAGCCAATTTTGTGTCCAAAAAAAAAAAAAAAAGTATAGAGAGGGAGATATTACAAGATCTTTTTTTTATTTTTTTAATCTTCTTCGACATTTCATAATTCTAAACCACGTTCTTACTTTTAAATATGTAGGATATAACTTTACTTTAATTAATTATATTTTGAAAAATAAAAAATAAAAATCAAGAAAATAAAAAGAGAAAGAAACAAGTGGGAGGAAGATACATAAAATTTTACTTGGATAGAATCAAACGATAACACCATCTAAGTTTATTATCAGATAAAAACTCACATCAAGAAATCTATTTAACACCCAAATTCCTTTATTTCATCCCTATATATATATATATAATTTTGATATCTAAATTTTCCTTTTTGTCGTTAATTGATTTTTTAAAATAGCTTTTAACATTTTTTTTTTACACAAATATCTTGCTAGATATTTCATAATTCTACACCATGCATGTTGTTGTTCTTAAATTTGTAGACTGACCTTGCCTTAAATTTTGAAAAGTAAAATGTAATTAAAAAGTAATGTTATTTTTATATAACTGTCTTATAATACATCAACTATTAGATGGATATTTCTTATATTAAATAAGTGGGTTTTATGAATAATTTTCATAAATTTAATAATTTTTAATTTTCAATAAATTAACATTTATAAGACGATTATATAAAAATAGTATTGCTTTTTTTAAAAAAAAATACATAGGAATAATAGGATAAAAATGAGAGAGAAAAAAAACAAGAAGATATATAAAATTTTGTTTGGATGTAATCTAGCTATAACACCATCTAATTAATTAATATTATTATCAAACGAAAATTTCATATTAAGAAATCCATTAACACCTAAATCCGACCATTTCATTACTAGCAATATCAAAATATATGGATTTTGAATGTTTAGATATAAAAAGTGTAAACAAAAAAGAATTTTTGATTAATTGAAATAATATATTTGAATTTTCTTGTTGCGCCTCCGTTCTTTACGCATTGGGATAAAAACCAAAGCTGCTTCATTGATTGAAGGAAAATGTGAAAAGCAACAAGTCAGTGAGTCAACAAAAAGAAAAATATGAAAACTGGTATGGCTCAACGCTATTGATTTTGAGTGCAAGTGGACATTAATTGTGTGGAAAAATCTCAGCTAAATGGATCAAATTTTCTAAGAATTTTAAATGATCTGAAAATCACTTCTTAAAATTTTTCATTCGACTTTTTCTGAATTTTTTTATTTGTTTAGTTCATCTTCTGATTTCAAAAAAAAAAAAAATTCATTTTCTGAAGAATCCTAGAATTCTCCGAGGTCAAGAATTATATTTTTTATTTTTTAAACATTAAAATTATAAAAAAAATTAAAAAAAAGAATATGAAAAATTATAATTTTTTTATAATTTTTAGATAAATTTTATTGAATGATTTTAATCATGAAATTATTTATGTGATCGTTACTTAAAAAAAAAGAGACTAAATTAAAGAAAAATACAAGAAAAAAATAGTTAAATTAAGAAATTGATCGTCACATACGCTAAAATTCATAAAAAGTCAAAAATCTCCGCTGACAAAGTTAAAGCTGTTTTCCAAAGTGGACGTAGCTTTTATAGCAATAAGTTTCGTTTTTCTTTTCTCCCGGCCTTTCTTCTACTTTTTACAAGCAAGGTTTGTTTTTTTTTTTTTTTTCTTTTCTTTTTAAGTAGTTTAGTTTCAGTGATTTCTATAATAAGTATTTTCTTTTTTTTTTTTTTAGTTTAGTTTTACTATACTTTTTTTTAAAAATCCTTTGCTTCTTCCTTTCCCCCCCCCCCCCCCCCCATCAATTTAGGTTCTTTTTTATTTAATTTTTAAAAATTTTTAAATTTATTTTATTTTGATCTCTAAAATTTTAAAATAAAAATTTTAATCCCCTAACCGATGCTCTGCACATGGTTTTTTTTTCTTTTAGTTTTTTCATCAATCTATATTCTTTTTTTATTTAATTAGGTGTTAAAATCTTGAAAAATCAATTTTGCTTTTTCTTTTTTGATCAATTTATGTTCTTTTTTTATTTATTTAATTAGGTGTTAAAGTTTTAACAAATCAATCATTATTGGTTTTATACAAACTGACGATTATATATATATATGTTTCTTTACTTTTTTTCATCAATTTATGTTCTTTTTTTTTATTTGATTAGGTGTTAAAATTTTGAAAAATTAATCGTTATTTTTCTTTTTTTACACAAAATCACTATTATATAATATATAAATTATTTTTTATATTTATATGATATATTCTCTTCTTTTTTTTAGTTTCACTATACATGCCTTCACCCCCCCCCTTTACATTTTTCATCAATTTAGGTTCTTTTTTTATTTAATTTTTTTAAATTTTCTGATTATTTTATTTTGATAACTAAATTTTAAAACAAAAATTTTAATCCCCTAATCGATGCACTCGCATATGCTTTTTTTTTCTTTTTTTTTCATCAATTTATGTTCCTTTTTTATTTAATTAGGTGTTAAAATTTTAAAAAAATCAATCATTATTCTTTTTTTTTTTTTTTACACAAAGTGACTATTATGTAATATATATGATATTTTTTACGTTTATATGATATGTTTTAAGATTTTAGAAAAAATAAACTACTATTATTGCTTAAAATTGATTTTTCGATAAAAACTCTCGTCAAGTTAATTTTTATTCTTATTTTTATATAATTTTATTTATTAATAAATATGACTTATTTTCTCTATGTACGGATTCGAATAAGTTTTTTTATACCCTTTTTCATTTTTTAATTCTTAAGTAATCAAATTTTAAAAATTGAATACATGTATTTTATTTTCTTATTTTTTATATAATCAAATTTTATCAAAATCAGTTTTATAGTTTTTATCGCACTCTATTAACTTCAATATATATTTTACTATTTAATTTTTAAAAAATGTTTTTCATTTTATTTTATACATTCTCACGTATTGAGTATGGTCATAATATATAAAAATAATAATATTAGAGTCATTGATTTTATTAGAAATCAACTATGCATCTACACACATAATGCCAACTGTTTGCTATTTTTTTTATATTTAAAATAATTTTTTAAACAACATAATTGAAATGATATTTTAGAATAATTGCCTAATAATTCAAATACAATTTTGTATACTAATATTATTCATTATTTTGTAAATAAATATATATATATAAATCAAATGTATATATTTAAAAAAATAATCTTCTCATCAATAAAAAAGTTTCATTTGTTAATTCTCATACAAGTTTTTATGTTAATTTTTGCTTTATTTCTTTGATGCAATGTAATGAAAAAAAATATTAAGATGTTTTTTTCTAAATTTTATATTAAAATTTGTTTATTATGGGTTTTATAATATATACACTATCTTTTTATGTTTAAAATTAACATATATTTCAGCTTATATTATTCTTATAATTTAAATTTTATTATTTGAATTTATTATTTCTTATGAAAATTCTCATCCAATTAATATTTTTTTTATATGAGATTTTATTTACTAATAAATATAATTTATTTTTCTCTATATTTTAATTTTAGAATAAAATTTTAAAACATGATTGTTTTTTCTTTTTTAAAAATAGATTGGTATAATATATATCATGAATTCTTACAATTTTTAAATGATAGTTGCATATATATAAATATATAATTATTTAATTCTAAAAGATTGAAAATGTATTTTAAATAATTTATTTCAGTTCACTAGATATGGTCAAGACGTATAAAAAAACTATTGAATCATTGATTTTATTTAAAATTAACTATATATCTTCCAACATAGTACAAATTATTTATCATGAATATTTTTTTAACATTACAGAACCAATTTATTAGAAATAAAAAACTAAAATTATGTTTTAAAGGAATCAACTAATTGTTCAAATACAGTTTTTTATGCTAATTGTATTGATTATTTTATAAATAAATATATATATATATATAATGCATATACTTGAAAAGAAAAATAATCTTCTCACCAATATTAAATGAGAATAGAATTTTATTTTTTCATTCGCTAGTTTTTATGCAAGCTTATACATTAATTGTTACTTTATCTTTTGGATACATTCTTATAAAAATATATATATATATATAGTTTTAAAGTACTTGCTTTTGAATTCTTAATTAATATTTAAGGTTTAAATTATTATAAGTTTTTATTTAAGAATTCATGAATGAAAAATAATAAATCAAGTTTTTTTAAGCAAAAATTTTATGAAAAACATGAAAGAAAACTCGTAATGATTAAATAAAAAACTAAAGAAAAAATTATAAAATAGTTAAATGATTTTTTTATATCTACTCGTAGCCTTGCGCAAATAATTTTAAAAATTAATCTTCTCATCAACATTAAATAAGAATTTTTTTCTCATTTTTTAATTTTTGTAAGAGTATATACATTAATTATAACTTTATTTTTTGGAATAGAATATTATGAAAATTATATTTTAAAAGTTTTTTCTTAATTCTTGATTAATATTTTAGTTAAAATTATTATATTTTTTTATTTTAAAATCAATCTATGAAGAAGAATGATTTATGTTTTTTTTTAAGCGAGATAATTTACTAAAAAAAATTAAAATTAAATGAATAAAAAATTATAATAAAAAATTTTAAAATAATTTTTTTTTTTACCGGACTTGCGAGTGTAGTATGGGCAAGTGACTAGTTATATATCTAAAAGAGGTGGGGTTTTGGCTGTTTATAACCCCGTTCACATCTCGTTTCTATTTGTTATATACAGGTTTTGTGATTCAAATACAAGAAAGCCTCGCTAGTCCGACGGTTA